GAGCGAAAAATATTCGCCTCCATTTGTGACGCCTTTCCGCTACACCGCCGGAAGCGGTACGCTCCGGTGATTTGCAATGTTCTGCATAGAATGATAATAATCGGCTCGGGATGATCGAATCGCCCGTTCAGAGCGAGCGCAACCGGGATTAATTCTGCATCCAGTGTTTGGCAGACGTGTCTCCCTATTACTTAGGAGATCACTCGATTGCTTTCGGGAATCATGTCATCATACCGTGCGGCTCATATCCATGCGGTCATCCGCCGACGTGCGAACGAGGCTCGCATCTGCTACGTCATTGATTTATCGATGCCGGAACATGAGGTAGTCTTCGTCTGGACTACCCCAACTCGATCTCTGCTTGAGCTCGATTCGAACGAGCGACCTCCCGTGAGTAAACATGGAGCGGCCGAGCGAGCTCCGAAGTAGCTGCATAACTCCATTCCACGACGGGAGCAGATCGACTCACTCGTGCTCTACATCAAAGAAATCCTCTGACGGAATAAATCACACTCTAGACCCCGAACCGCACAAGTTCCCACGTATATGCGCGCTCACCCACACAGTCGAGACACAGCGAAATTCAAACGATGCCTATGCAATAATTAAAAAATCATTTCCCCGATCCAGCTCGCCCTCGTCTCAGAAAACAGCTCGCGGCTGCTTGATGTCTTCCAGGGTGAACGCGCGGCTTCCAGACCTCGGGACACTTACATCGGATAGTCGGAATAGTTGATCTTCGGATATCAAGGCTAGAGATTGGAAGCTAGTATCCCTCGAGAGGAAACAAAACTCGCCCGGCTGTCGGGGTTTTCCGAATGTCTCGGGACATTGTGCGTGCTTAGTCCACTTCCGAATTTCTTCAGGTGGGAGCTAGCATCGCTCGACCGGGCAGCTTACTCTCTCGCTTGAGATCTCAACGATCAAATTCTGAGTGGACAAGCGGCCGCTTTGCTGCTTCTCTGCGAGTCCGCTGTTTTACAAACGAGCCCGAGGGCCAAGTCCGGCGGCTTGGAGTTCAAGTAGGAGTTTTGGGCCGACTTTTGGAATGCAGGACGGAACGTCGAAGGGGAAACGCACCGTAATCCTCTTCTTCAAAGGCCTGGTTAGTGTTTTTCTGCTCGCCTACTCGGCCCGACTGCCTAGCGAACCGAGCGGGCAGCGCGTGAGTCGGCCGTTCGGCGGACTGCTGGAGTCTCGAAACTGGCAGACGAGTAAGCTACCACCTCCCGACTATGCTAGGCCGTGTTCGGTCGTCCTCTTCTTCGCTCTCTGCTCGCCATGAGGAGTAAGTTGGGCTCGCGGTAGCGGCCATGGCCTCAAGCCCTGACGGCTGGAACTCGGGTAAAGCGAAGCAGATATGGCCTCGACGGGAGAATCTCGCACAGTCCACTTGCCCGTCTGCCGGCCGGCTACCACATTCAACGACGACAACAGCAACAACGAACAAACAAACCGCGGGGCAGAAAACCGGGCCGGTAACGTAATATGGCTGGATGGACTCGCTGTTGTAGGTACGTGCGCGCACGCTTCTGCTGATTCTAAGGACGCAGCGTTTCCTGAGTTTTCTTCTCCGAGTCCAGGCCCCGCCGACCTGGTACTCTATGTTTCATCCATTCGACTCCGTATTTTTCAATCCTGGGGCGCCGCACATCTCGGAGGGCTGACACCTGATCTCACAGGAACTGAAAAACGATGGTTCGGAATTGATTCAAGCCGTTATCCGGCGTCCGGTGACGGTGCTGAGAGAAATAATTTCGGCGCATACCTTCGGTGAGAAATTTCAGAAACTCCGTGTCCTCCTCGCATGAGGAACCGAAGTCTTCTGAACGTTCAATTCGAAATCTTATTACGCCGGATCGAGCTCCGACGGTTCGCTCGCGGGAGTCCGTCCATCTGTATGCTTCCGATCCAGACCGCATGAGCCCAACGACCAGAGGCCCTTCAAGCGGTGACGTCGGTATTTCAATATGCGCTTTCCCGAAAGAGTTCCATGCTTATGATCTGGGGATCTGGGTAGCTGCCAAGAGTCTTGGATGTTTGCGAAAACCGTACAAGGGCAACAGGCGAGAATTGCAGAGTTCCTCTCGATCTGATGCTCGGATGTACAGTCGCAATGCCGCACTCCATTCATGCGTGTGAGGAGCTACCATTTCATGCATTTGCAATCTACGGATGAGCCTTTCTCCTCCTGCTCCCTCGAATATCCCGAGAAACAACACTGTCTTCCGAGAAGCCCTCGTCCCATTCAACATCGGGGTACGCTCGTTCCGAGACTTTCGATATCATTGAAATATGTCGGGGCCAAATCGTCGTTTCGATCAGTCCTTCGCGCAATACTTCAAAGTTTCGCGAAGATGCTACCAGTCCCGAACCGAAACATGATCGTATCAAAACTTAGGATCTCCCATAATAGGAGAAAAACACGCTATATCATTTCATGGACAAGACTCCGTTGCAGGTACAGACAATTCGCCTGGAGGATACTATGTGCGCAATAAAATGACGTAGGTTTACGGCCCCGACTTCGCAGGGGGGAATTACCCAATTGCGATTCGACGCAATTGTCGAAGCAGCTCTACCCTGCTTCTCGTGCGAGGAACCATGGAGGTATAGAGCCTCCATTTGGACTCGTCGCTCATCTAGCTACCATGTGACGCTGAATCGATTCCGTTGTGATCCATCGGCTCCTACAAAATCGCTTCCTCTTCAACAATTATTTGCTGCAGCACAATGCTCCCATTGGCTCGGAACGGATTTGATCCCGACCATTGCGCATACATGTAATATGTACAATAAGTTCGGCGTAGATTTTCTACTCCCACTGGACTGGAGCCTACTCGAGTTGACCCTCCAGTGCGCCACTTTTCATGATGAAATATGTAGAAGAGCGTGCGTGGGCTCCCAACGAGCCGAATTGAAATGAAGCCGGACCATGAATGTTTGAGGAGCTCATGCCGGCTTGTTTTTCCTCTCGGTGGCTTCCCTTAGCTATTTTCAGCCAGGACAAAAACGACGGCCTGTCCGCTCCAATGAAGAGCTTCTATCTGCCTACACTCGGTATATGTTTGGAATGGAAGACTCTCTTGAGTACATAGGAAGCGCAGAGCTGCACTTGGCCGGCTAAATAGCTGTTGAATATTCACACAAGTTGACGTCAACTAGGTCTTGCTTAGAAGTCGTGGAAACGCGTGTTTTCTTATTTAGGAGGTGGCGGAGCGGAAAATGCAGTCACGCAGCACTATAGGATCGCGGTTTCCGTTTTCGAAACCTGATCCGGGAGATGAACCGAGTTTGAGATGCGGCTTGATACCTCTTGAACAAACTTGTCTCAAACCAGAATCCGCTTTTGAGAACCCCGACCCCCGCTTTCGGCGAAAAATTCCGATGAGAACGGATCCCATAGGATTTGCGGAATCGAAGAATCCACTTGCATTCCTAAAAGCTCCGGAGCCATAAGACGCGTCGCTGTGATCGATGGGCGTCAGAGCTGGGCCCGCGACGGGTGACGATCTGCAGGATCTAATCAAGATGAATGGTTTTTAAAGAGCGGCTCGATTCTCTGCAACTCAATCACTCTTCTAGGTCAAATCCGTTGGTAGCGAGGCCTCTATCTCCTCCGCTCCTCTTTTTGGCTCCGCACGGAGGCAACATCTCCAGGTAATTCTATTTGCCACGTTAGTGATGTCTTGCCGCTCTGAGAGCAACTCCGCTCACCCCAATCCCCTCTCCCTGGGCGCCCTCGTCGCGTCGTTCCTTTGTAACCCCTCGCCAAGCGAGAGATAAACTCTGCCGCTGCAATGACGTTCCGGCTACTGGTCCGGAAATTGATCAGGAAGACGTTAATTTTTCGCGAGATTCCGTAGAGTAGGGATCCGGGCTTAGGGCTGCCACGGAGAGAATGATGACGACAATGTTCATGATGATGGCCTTGATGATGCAGCACTAGCGGCTCCTGTTCCGAGCTTTTGTGTCTTATCTTTATGATCACTCCTTCAGACATAATGGGACTGGCGGCGGGACTCGCTTTGGTTCCGAGACTGCTAATACTTTCGATGCTGGGCAATATACGGAACGACAAATAGGTTGCTCGAAAACGCCGGCAGTTTTTCGACGTCTTTTTTCGCTCCCGATTCGGCGGATGCATTCCCCGTTGCTCCTCTCCCTCCGCAGAGAGCTCCGATTCGCGGGAATCTGTTGCCTTCCCCGGGGGCAACATCGCTGGATACACCATCATGGACATGGCAGGCTACACCGAAGAACGATTATCGGGAACCGATGGGCTGTATGGCTTTATTTGAGGTGACAGAATAAATATACACAATCAAGACGATGTCCAATCATCCACTCGCACTCTATAGATTTGGCTAGTCGGGGATCGTTCCCCCGTCCTTTTCCCGCACCTTCCAACACGGTCTGGCAAGTGAGCGACCGGTCGAACGGGAGGCAGGCAATACACTTCTCTACACCTGCAGGATAAAAGTCAAAAGGAGCGAACTAATGCGACTCGCGCTGCCGGATAAGAACAAACTCTAACTGAACATTCGATCGATGCCGCCACGAAGACATATTGGCTGAACGGTTTTGACCGTCCGTCGGTGTTGATGGAACAGTCGCCAGCAGCAAGAGCAGGAAGAGCAGCAACAGGCAAATATTCCGAGAGGATGAGAGGTTGGCAAAGGAGAAGCAGGATGAACGAGAGAAAGAGAGAAAGAGAGGGGCCAGCCGGAGAACGATGAGAGAGACGCAGCGGAGGAAAGTGGATGGAAAAAGTGAAACTAGCGGACGGGGGAGAGGAAACGGACTCCCAAATAAGAAACAGAGCAGAAACCCTCCTCCGAATGACTAGTTGATTGATAACAAATAACGGGCATTTCGTTCGGTGGAAGAAACCAATAAGGAGCAGACGCGGGCAAGTCCCAGTTAAGAGCGACCAGGGAGGAGAAGAATGCACTAGCTGCTTGCTAGGAGGCTCGATGAGATTCTGAACGCGGAACATATCAGACTGTGAGATACTCCTGGGGAATTATTCCTGGAATGGCGGAAGCTCCTTTGAACGCTGGTTCAACGAACTCCTTATGAGAACGGGCCGTCCGTTTCAAGTAAGGAACTTCGTCCGGGAACAGCAACGTCTTACTCCTGCGTCCTCCCCGGACAACGACGGGTTCCTGGATGAAGTCCGTCGTTTCCGTTTGATGTTTCACAATTCGTCGGCCGAAGTCGTGACGCGAGTCGTACTGATTGATGGTAACGGGTCGTCGGGCTCTGTCGAGGACGACTTCTTCGACGACTTCTACGGATCGTCCCGCCGGACGTTGCTCGGTCGTCACAGGAACTACGGGAACAGCGGGGAGCGAATGGACCGACGGAGCAGCTGGCACAGGAGCAGGCGTAGGAGCTGGTGTAGCGTGGTGATGCGTTTGTCCATGGTGACTGTGGTGTTCATTAGCTTGATGATGATTGTGGGCACGGGCGTGCGCCCCGTTGTGTTGGATAGCTAGGGAGCTCCTATAAGCGTTTTGGCGGAAACCCGGAAACTCCGAAGCTGGGATCAGAGGTCGCTGATACGGGGCCGCGTTCGAGTTGTGACTGTGCTGGTAGGACCGGTGGTGTTCGCTCACATAACGGGGTGGTACGAACTCCGAGGCAGTGTCGACTCGAGAGAAAGTTTGAGCGTTAGAGTTCTGGTGCCGGCTGTCGTACGACCGGTAGCTGCTGGGTCCGTTCTGCTGTTGGTAACGATAGGTCCTCGTGGCTACGTTGTAGTGTTGGTCGATCGGGAGGAAACCCAGGAAACCCATATGCGGGGCATACGTCGAGAACGAGACCTGCGCGGGATGTAGCGACACTTTCGGTGTTTCGGGCGCGTGGGTATGCACGTGCGCTTGAGTGTGAGATGGAGTATTGATGATGACTCTCCTTGGACGAGGTGTTTCGACTTCGAGCCTCTCGTTCACGGGAGCTGGACGAACGATCTGAGTTCGGGGCTCTACGAAGGAACGTTCCACATGAACGTCGGCGTGACCTCCGTCGCGCGACACGGTGTGCGTATCGTAGTGCACTCGACCGCTGTTTTCTCGAGTGCGGTACGTGACAGCGGGTCTGGTGTAGTGGGAAGTGGTATCGTAGGTCCGAGACGTCGTCCTGGGAACGTAGGTCACGGCCGGTGAAGGTGCCGGGTACGAAACGCTTCTCACGGGGGAATTATACCGTTCGTATTCGACTTGACTGGAATGGGAAGGATTTGCTATTTTCGGATTGCCGCAACAGAAGTCCTCCTCCTCACATCCCAATACGCCGCTATCGCGGGAGACAGTCTGCCCTCGGATCAATCCGACCGCGATCGACGAATTGAGGCGGCACTTACCGGTATTGACCAGATGTGAGCGATCGTCCCCTCTGAACGTCAGCATCCGAGATGAACTGGACGTCGGGCTGGTAGAGATTCGAATTGACGTAATAGAATTGGTTGGCGGACCCACAGGGAACGGCGGCCCAGGCGAAATTGCATGTCAGTGTCAGCTGGTCGAAGATTGTACCTGTTTTCGAGCACCGTTTTAATGTCCTGCGCGCATACAATCGGAACTATGGGCCTCTGAATGGAGGATCCGTGGAGGAAACACTTGTGCACACTCGATGGCCGAGCGTTCCGGAGACACTGTTTGAAGGTCTGCAACGTCCCTGGTTGCCGGTTCGACGTGCTTCGTGTATGGCTCATTTAATCAAACTCCCCCTCTGACAGCCTCGCAAAGAGCGTGTCTAGCATTAATTGCTCCTCGCCCTCATATACGGACAGCAGTCACTTGAACGCGCATGCCCCGACCCCCGTCTTCAGCCTTACTTGACCGGCCGCTCATCTGTGCGCGTACCCACCTTGCATTCCAAGCCCGCTCCCCATGTGCTGCGGTTAATACGACGCCAACGGCTCGGCGGTCCGACTGCACGCTTTGCATGTGGCTCATCTGAGGCTTACTGGACGTACTTCCCCATTGCTATCCTTGTGACCCTTTCATTTGCTAACTGTAGGCTAGCTAGCCACTTTGCCAGCCAATAGCTTCATGCTACCGGAGCGTTTGATTATGGAAAGCTGAGTGAATAGTCCATGTGGTTTGCCCTGTGTAAAGTGATCATGTATAGCTACAAGTTAGGCGCTACTCCCGTTGTGTAATGAGAGGCGCGCGGTAAATCGGACTCGAACAGCTCCCTCATTGAGCTCGGAGACCTCTATGCGTGAAGCGGCAGATTATCGGGGGCCGCTTTACCCGTCGATACAGATTTAATTCTTCATAAACGCATCCCCCCTGATGGCCGCGGAAATTACTCTGACCACAAAACATGTCTCTCGGATTCAACCCAGAAACCGGCTCGAGACGGTTTTCGGAAAAGTCCTGGGTTCCCCCTTTCCCCGGCTTCCGCGGAGCCCGCAGCGGTAAGCGTCACTGGATAGGCACAGGAAAGCTTGCACACAATCTGCTCTGGTGATCGCGGTCTGATGCTCGCCAGCTCCAATCTCCCAAAGATGACCGCGACCTCAGATTGCGAACACTAAAACATGAAAAACGAGCCTAACCTGCGAACCAAAAATCCATCAGTAACTCACCAGCCGGACAGAATTGCGAATATCTCACGGAATGAGGCTCCCCGTTTGGCATCGTGTACTCGTGACAAATGTGGAATACTCGACAGCCGTTCTGGACGTCCGCGTAGTATCCGGGTCGTCCTCTAGGGCATTGGAAGTTGGTTTGGATGGTCTGCGTGAAAGCGTCCTCCGGATTCCGGATCATGGTCCGCTGATAAACTACGGGCTGTTCCCGGTAAATGGTTGTCGTGGTCTCTGAGTGGCCGACACGTTTTTGGATCTAGGATGAGAATCAGGAGAGTTATTCGACTGAGGCCTTACACATGAACGTGATTACACGTGATTCGTAACAATGATGAGAGTCTCGGAGACTGATTTCAAAAGCTGCCGCTTCGGACCAGGATAGGATGAGCAGCGCTCGAGCAAATCAGGCGCGGCTTCGGCGTCACGCTTAGATACCACGGGGGCAGACACACAGTTCTAGCCGAGAATAATGGAAACGGAGGCGAATGCGACAGCGCGTTGACTCGCGGAGTTCTCTCGGGGAAAACACCGGTGAGGAATCAATTGGAGCACCCGACTTCACCTCCTCCGCCCCTCGCGCTTGATGATGGTCTCATGTGAATGTGCTCAAGCAATAAGGAGCCTCTGCGATTTTTCATTTCGAGTGACACTTCATTAGAGCCGCGGGCGTACACGGAACTAGATCGAGCTGCTGAGAGGTGGAAACGCAAGTCCAGTCGTGACTTCTGACAGAGCTTTGACCCGTCCATCCGGTGGGAGCATATCTCTCGACCATGTCTACGAGTGTCTAGGTCCGGCTACTCCACGTCTACGCCCACTGCTGCTGCTTGCCAACGTATCCCTGAGGACAATAACTCACGTTCTTGTCATCCCTGTGTACTGCTCGGTTTTCTGACGAATTTTGCGTAACGTTCTGGGGTTTAACTCCCGATGTACAGACGCCGCATGCTGCTGAAAAGACGCGAGAAGTTCTGAGTATGGAATATTTCAGGACGACCACCGGAAATTCGGGTCGGGTCCTGTAGCGCCATGCTGCACCGTGCTCCGGAATGAGGTCTACGGGACCGCTTCACTAATTGCGTAAAAAAGCATGGCCGACGGCTCTTTCCTTGATCGCGCAGTCGTGGGCCGGAACTTCTAGCCGAAACGATCTAGCTCCTAAAAAGGAGTCATGTCCGAGTTTGTTGTTCTGCAGGTGGGGAACTCCTGCAAGGGTATCTTGCCCGGCGAGAAGTTTTACCGCTCGGCAAATGCATAGTTCGCGTACGAGGCGTGATGTGATGAGCGCGAGATAATGTGGGAGAATGTTTTTGCTCGGATAAGCCTTGCTCGCCTCGGAGACGAAAGGAGCATTAACTGCATGATGTGCTGGTAGACGAGGGGACTGAGTGAGCGAGCAAACGAAGGCACCAACCAGTTCCCCCCGCAGCGGGGCGGCCGAGCTGAGGAAACTGAGAGCAGGAAAGAGACCGCGGGAGGTGGAAGGCAACAGGCCGAAGGAGTCGTGTAGGGAACGATAAGCGTCCACCGAATCCTCGCCCCCTAGCATTTCCAGTGATGAATTGACCCGCGACATAATTGATGACCCCCGCGCCCTCGTGGTCGCTTTTGGGTGAATTATGAAGCGAACTAAGAGCCCAGAAGAACGGCCGGAGAAACAGTCGGTCGGTCGGTAGGTCGTTCACTCACTCACTCGGTCACTCGGAAGAGCGGGTAGACGGACGGATGGGCAAAAAGAGTCACGAATGCAGATCTAGCGTCGAATATCCCGACTAGAAGGCAGAAAGTTCGACGTAATTCTCACTTACAGACATTGTGTTCGACGAGAAAACGCGAATGGGAAAAGCAACTGGCAGACATGAGCGGCTTCCAGAAGAGGACGTTTTTGCTATCTCGCTGGATATATTAGTTGCATGAGTCATAAAAAATCAGTCAACGACCAAGCATGACTTCAATGGTGTGAATCCAGTTTGGCATTTTTGTCGCGGCTCTAGGTCCCGCTAGTCACCATCACCACCAGCACTATCATGATCATCAACGGAATTATCATCGTAACCATCATGTGCAACACAACGACCGTATATGTACACTCGGACTTGTTGGATGCGAGCGATTCCAAAAGCCATTCGGTGGGTAAATTACACGATACACTGCCTCTCGTCACCGGATGAGGGAATAATTTCTGGAATGAATTCCGCCATCACTCACCGAGCACCACAACGAAGGAAACGGAATCGAAGAGACGCATCCTAGCTGGGCAGAGGGCACCTGCAATAACGTGAACGGCTTAGTCCCCTTGTCGAACGCCCATTAAAGCTTTACGGCTCCTCGTTTTGTCTAGGGCCGACTCCGACGTGCACGAACGCTCGTTCCGAACTCATGGCACCAAACTGCTGTTGCATACTCTTCTGAACCCCTACTCGCGAACCGCCATGGATGTGCTTTGCCCACAGTCGTTTCTTCTCTAACCACTCGGATCGGTTACTTCAAATAGCCGACAACTTTCCAACAAAATGAACTCATTCCCGAACAGAAAGCGAGCGGATGAAGTGCTGCCGTTGCAAGTCATCAGCCGTGTTACAGCCCTACGAGAACATCATGTAGCTACAAGGAAGGGTGTCTGCGTCCCAAGAGACAGTCATTCGACTCCCGGGCTGCATTGGATTCCTACGGACGAGGCCTTGACCCTTCGCCGCAAATCTCCAAGCATACGGACGAAGAGAACGCTAGATGGATACTGGCTCCGAACATGCAGTGGACCTTTCCGGCGGTCGGTGACAACCTGGATTCTGTCCATTTTGTTCGTGTGTCTCCGTGGACCCCGACCTCAAAACCTCGGCGGATGGAAGAACATCGCGGAACGATCCTTCGATTGAGGTCAACAAGCGCAAAGGCGTTTGTCGGCGGACTCCCGCAGCTTCCATTAATAACCATCCATATGCTCATCTACTCTTGCTGAAAGGGATCTTGCCCCCTGGAGCTCTATCGAATCGAGCAACGAAAGTCGAGCACGGCCGGAAAGGATAGCTCCATTGAGAGCTCAATTCAGAGAACGGAACAAGGAGGAGAAATACCTAGCTGTTTCGATGCTCCTCTCGGAACTCAGTGCAATAAGCAGCCTGCACGTGAACGTAGTCTGATTCTCGTTCCGGAAGCCTCGCGGAATGTCACTGCGTTTGAGACGAGTCCCGACAATTTGTTACCCTTCACAGCGTTTTTAGAGGTTGGATTGGCTGACAGTGTCATGCTCGAAGGGTTTACTCTTCGTGTTTCGATTCCCCATCGGGAACAGCTCGGGTAAAAACTTCGAGCGCGCATACGAACGGAAACCGCCAGAGGAGTTTAGAGCGTACTCGAATAAATACCCCACACGTCGTGTTCCTCGGCCTTTCGCTCGAGCTCGGTTTCGATTCTACGCAATAACGCCGAAAAAAACAATGAGCTTTGACTCTTTTTCCATGGGGAAGAGCGGCTCTTCATCGAATTCGGAATTCTGTTCCGCCAAAGGTCAGGAACACCGTTGAAGTCTTGTGAGCTCGGAGCCAATCCTCCCGAGAGAACGGCTCGCTCCGCGGAGGACACATCAAGAGAAACTCGCAAGTGAATCCCTACGTCCGGAGCTGAAGTTCCAGAATTGATAAAATCGCGCAGGCAACTCTGAAAAAATGAAGCTCGAGACTAAGAAGACTCACCTCGGGGCTCGCTCGGGCTCAAGCGAAAGTCGAATAATGAAATCCACGAAGGACGAGAAGCTTGTGACGAACTCTCAGAACGATAACTAGCAAGGGCTTCAATCGACGAACGACATCAATACGTTTCATGAACCGTTCTACACTGAGGTATCAACGCACAAGATGGACAGGGCACTTTTGACGGAAGACCAACATATCTGGAAAAAAGATTTGAGTTCTCTTGCTTGATAAAGTCGATCGGTTCCCCTCGCAACACATCCACAGTGATCTATTGGTCGTGTCAAAAGACTGGCGGTACGCCGAGGAAAAGTCTTAGCGAGAGCCGAGAGAGAATTTTAACATCGACTTGTATTACTGACGGTGGCCTAAGGTTCTCAGAGGTGAATGTAACCCCAAATTAGTGCTACTTGTTAAACATCGCGGGAACGCGGACCCTCTGGGGATCTGGTCGTTCGCACAGATCCTTGCATATGCAAAACGGAATGCTGATGAGATTGTGGTATGGCCGTTCCTTCTCTGTAGCTCAAACAGAATATTCACACTCTGGACTCGACAAAGTGAGGCCTCGAATCCGGCGCCGGCAACATTGCATTCGGAGCTATTTTGCAAGATAATGGAGTCGTGCCACGAAATTACAAGGGAGTCGACGATCTCCATGTCGGTGTCCCTCGGAGAGATCCTCTCCATCGGTGGGTTCGACTCCCACTCTCTGGCCGTTCATATCCGTCCGCGCACTTCATACAACTGCAGGAATGGCCCAGCAGCCTCGAAGAACTCTCAATCCACTCACAGGACACACAGACGGATCCGGCTTAGTTCTTGTCTCCGGGACAATCCCCAGCGTCTGGCGATGATCGGAGAAGCGCGTGTATTAAACGAAGAAGCATCCCACATCGAGCGGCGGCGGAGGGAATCGCGACCACAGGCTGGCTGAAACGGCCACCACGATGCCCACAACAAACCCCGCTCACCACTCAATGAACGACCGACCGTCGAATGACAAACGCCACGGCGACAATCATCGCGAATCAGAATCCAGATGCATGGATCCCCTTCAGTTCCCTTCGACCATGAAACACTTATCGAGGCGGTGACAGAATCAGGATATCATTTTTGGCCGACCCCACGCGCTCGCGGAGTATTCATATATGGACGTCCTCAAGATTGTGAATCAGAGGAAAAAGAAACGCAGTCCCGGGTGATGCAAGCGGAACCGCTTGCGGGGCAGCGAGAACCCCGAATCCCTCAGAAACAGACGGAACTCGTTGTGAGACTCGGTCGCTCGTGGTGGAAACGTCTCCGATATAAATGATTCGGCAAATTCGGGACATGTGTCAATTTGAGAATGTCGGAGCGGCTACAGCGACTCCCGAGCCGGAGCAGAGAGACAGATGATGAAAACGAATCCGCATCGACTCCGGTCTGAAGCGTTGGAAGTACGGAATTCTCTCCTTGATTTCTTGGGATACATCAATATCAATTTTCAGACGCCGAAGAGACGCCAGAACTCTATAAGTTTCCGTCTGTCATTCGTCATCGAATCATTCGATACATCATGATTAGA